GAATACATGATTAAATGAATGAATTAATGAATGAATGCATGAATGAATGAATGAAAATTAAGAATAAAATGAAAAGTAAAAAAAGATTTCAAACGGCATTTTTTTTTAGAAATATGAAATAAAACATAGGTATGAACATAAAAAATAAAATCAACGAAATAATCACACAATTAAAAATAAAAATAAAACACCCTGACAGATAAGTAAAACAATGGTTTGTTCTTATCCACGCACATCTACGCCATAGTATCCTGTCTGTGTCGACTCTGTGATGTTTGGACTACTCTGGTTTCGATGATCATTCTGAAATGAACAAAATTGTGGTGTGATTGCAGTGCCTGATGATTTGTCTAAATTCCGCACTCCCTTCCACTAGAAAAAATGACGTAATGAAATACAAAAAAGGAATAAAATACACACACAAAAGCCAACGTGATGTAAAAATTAAATGAACAATGATAATATAAAAGAATGAAAAAAAAGAAAGAAAAAAAACAAGATGGAAAGAATTGACAGATAGTATACAAAAATAAATAAATTTGGTTTTAAAATGTAAGGAATTTGATAAAGAATGAATGGATGAAAATATAAAAGAATGAATAGATGAATAAATGGATGAGTAAATGGATGAATGACTAAATGAATGAATGGATGAATAAAAGGATGAATGAATGAATAAATTTAAAAATGCATGAATGAATGAATGCATGAATGAATGAATGAATGAAAATTAAGAATAAAATGACAAGTAAAAAACCCATTCAAACGGGTTTTTTTAGAAATATGAAATAAAACATAGGGATGAACGTAACAAAATAAAATCAATAAAATAATCACACAATTAAAAATAAAAATAAAACACCCTGACAGATAAGTAAAACAATGGTTTGTTCTTATCCACGCACATCTACGCCATAGTATCCTGTCTGTGTCGACTCTGTGATGTTTGGACTACTCTGGTTTCGATGATCATTCTGAAATGAACAAAATTGTGGTGTGATTGCAGTGCCTGATGATTTGTCTAAATTCCGCACTCCCTTCCACTAGAAAAAATGACGTAATGAAATACAAAAAAAGGAATAAAATACACACACAAAAGCCAACGTGATGTAAAAATTAAATGAACAATGATAATATAAAAGAATGAAAAAAAAGAAAGAAAAAAACCAAGATGGAAAGAATTGACAGATAGTATACAAAAATAAATAAATTTGATTTTAAAATGTAAGGAATTTGATAAAGAATGAATGGATGAAAATATAAAAGAATGAATAGATGAATAAATGGATGAGTAAATGGATGAATGACTAAATGAATGAATGGATGAATAAAAGCATGAATGAATGAATACATTAAAAAATGCATGAATGAATGAATGCATGAATGAATGAATGAAAATTAAGAATAAAATGAAAAGTAAAAAAAGATTTCAAACGGCTTTTTTTTTTAAATATGAAATAAAACATAGGGATGAACGTAACAAAATAAAATCAATGAAATAATCACACAATTAAAAATAAAAATAAAACACCCTGACAGATAAGTAAAACAATGGTTTGTTCTTATCCACGCACATCTACGCCATAGTATCCTGTCTGTGTCGACTCTGTGATGTTTGCACTACTCTGGTTTCGACGGCCAATCTGAAATCAACAAAATTTTGGTGTGATCGCTGTCCCTGAAGATTTGTCTGAATTCCCCACTCCTGTCCACTAGAAAAAAATGACGTAATGAAATACTATCTTTAAAAAAAAGGAATAAAATACACACAAAAAAGCCAACGTGAAATAAAAATAAAATAAACAATGATAATATAATACAATTGAAAAAAAAAGAAAAAAAGAACCCAGATGGAAAGAATTGATAAATAGTATACAAAAATTAAATAAATTTGATTTTAAGATGTAAGAAATTTGATAAAGAAAGGTACCCAATCGGATAAACAAAGTAAACAACTTTCTGATATGCTTTTAAAAATATTCAATTTTTTCCTTTTTTCTTAGTAAAGATGGGAATTGGCGAGCGAAAGAAAAAGAACTTATAAACACTCACAGACACACAGACACACACACACACACACACACATACACACACACACACAAACACACACACACACACACACACACACACACGCCCACACACACACACACACGCACAAACAGACAAAAATCAGAAATAATTGAATCAACAAGTACAAAAATTGTAACTGTAAAGTTTCAGCAGTGCCAGCAACAACTAACGTTTTCTTCTACCACAGTTTGAAGTTGTCGATGTTCATTGCGCAGGTTGCTAAATTCGTTTTCCAATCTGGTCACCTGTAAAGGCAACAAAATAAAACGCATTAAAAAAATCAAAGTAGGTAGGGAGAGTTTTAAGTAGTGTTCAGTCAGTAAATATGATATCATCACCCCCACCAAGACCACCACCACCACCACCACCACCACCACCATCATCATCATCATCATCATCATCATCATCATCATCATCATCATCATCATCA